CTATCTACCTATCTATTTATTTATTTTCTATATACCCATCTATCTATCGATTAATTTCTTTCTTTCTTTTTCTTTCATCTAATTACCTATCTATCTATTTATCTATCTATTTATCTATCTATTTATTTATCTATTTATCTATCTATCTCTCTCTCTCTCTTTCATCTGTCTATCTGTCTAGTTGTCTACCTGTCTATCTATCTATCTGTCTATCTATCTGTCTATCTGTCTACCTGCCTATCTGTGGTGCAGTGTCATTCAGTGTAATGCAGTGTAGTGTAATGTAGTGTAGTGGAGTGTAGTGTAGTGTAATGTAGTGTAGTTTAGTGTAATTTAGTGTAGTGGAGTGTAGTCGAGTGTAGTTGTGTAGTCGTAGTTGTAGTTGTAGTTGTAGTGGAGTGTAGTGTAATGTAGTGAAGTGTAGTGGAAGGTAGTGTAGTGTAGTGTAATGTAGTGTAGTGTAGCGGAGTGTAGTGTAGTGTAATGTAGTGTAGTGTAATTTAGTGTAGTGGAGTGTAGTGGAGTGTAGTTGTGTAGTTGTAGTGTAGTGTAGTGGAGTGTAGTGTAATGTATGTAGTGTAGTGTAGTGAAGCGAAGCGAAGCGACTTCTGAACCTCCAAAAGTGGTCCGAAGCCCTTGTGTTTTTAACACTTTGACTTCGAAGTGTGCTTCGCCCCACAACGGTGTGCACTTTTTCGACATCTGAACCTCCAAAAGTGGTCCGAACATGGCGTTTTGTGCATTTTGACTTCGAAATGTGCTTCGCGCCACAACGGCGTAAACTTTTTCAACATCTCAACTTCCAAAAGTGGTCCGAGACCCAGGTCTTGCAAATGTGCTTCGCGCCACAACGGCGTGCGATTTTTCATCTCTCATCTGGCCAGCTGCCTCCGCACCCGCCGCTTTAGCGAGCCTACTTTTCGACCCTCCGGAGCCTCAAATCATTGGAAAAACACAGTGTTTCGCGACTTTCCTACCTTTTCGCGCAGCTGCATCTTCTTTCTTCTGACTCTTTCTCTTCTACTCTTCTCTCTTCTAATCTTTCTCTTCTCTCTGCCTCTGCCCTGCGCTGCTTTTCATCTGTCCATATTGTCGGAAGTTTGACTTCTAAACTTCCTTCGACAATTATCAGATTGTTTAAATTATTTTATCTTATTTATTTTTGAATTTGATGATGGTAAACAAAAAGAAGCAGGTCTGCTGACCTTAAGACCTTACAAATGGAGATCATGTTTAGTCCAGTGCAGGGGCAAATATATAACAATGTCTAGGAATGTCTAGGATATGATCAGCACGTCAACACGACCGGGGCCAGAACGGGTGTCATTCAACAACTTGGAGAGAATATTCCGCACAGCCGCAGAAAATTCCATGTGCACCTGAGTACAGGGACATAAAAGGATTGTGCCCAGCTCAGCGGCCAGAGGTGATGGCTAGGTGCCTCTAATAACTGCCCGACTGTCCACAAAAAAATCAAGCAATTTCACAAGGCAACGCAGCCTTGTTGACCCCCAAATGGTCTGCCAATCCTTCATCGACAAGATTCGTAACATTTCCTGACAAAAAAAGATGCTTTCAATCTACAGAACAGTTCTGACTCAGTAAGCCGCCTGAATCTCCAAGGCACGTCCGCCAACTCCAACACGTTGTCCAAAATGTGGCGCACCTACGGATCGATCCGATGCGCAACCCAAACAAATGACATTTTCCATTGGGTCTGATCCAAAACCTGAAAGCGATCACCAAAAAGTCATGGCAATGGTCTCAAATAAATCACCAGTCCCAATTCAGAGAACTGAGAGAACCCTTCCCCCTGCTTCACCTCTGCCCGCCTTCCGATCCTTGCGGCTGGTCATGGTCCGAGAGGGATAAAACTCCACCTGGCCACAACTCTGCCGGAGCTTTGGTGGATCTCTGTACCATGGACCCCACAGTTCCCCCCCAAGCCAAGTCACTGGAGGGTCCGGAGGATATCCTCAGCAAAGCAAACGTCCAAGTGTTGACAGAAGAATCCGGCACCGTTTGGGGATTCTTCGCGTACCCGCGGGATTCCGCCCAATTCTGCCAATGAACCGTCCCCAGAAACCTCCCCTCCGCCGCTTCCAGCCATGGTTCCTAAAGCTTCCCGTTGTTCTGGCGTCAGAAAGCGGACGCCGTTCAGGTGGCAGATCAAGGGGCGACGGCTGCCATCTGGGGACAAAGAGATACAGTGATACCTGAGCTGCGGCAGATGCAGTTGGGAAAAAACTGTTATCAACTGGTGCTGGATAAGCCCATGGCAAGTGACACACCCCACACCCTGGACGCAGTGAGGTTGGGCCCAATTTAGAATTTTAGCGCAACAGAAAGAGCGGGTCGTTGGTCGTTGAGAATGCCGGGATCTCATGTTTTGAACAGGTTGCCTGCCGCTTAAAGTGAAGCAAAACAGACCTCTGAGAGACAAACCTTCAACTCTTACTTCAAGGACAGAAGCGCCAGGAGTAATGAGCTCAATGACCCCCAAATGGTTCTTATGCGTTTATTCTTGTGTTATCCAAATTACTTTGGATATGGTCCCTGCAATGGTAATTGGCTGAAGAGCTGGGACTCAAATGGGCACCTGGCAATCGGAGCGCCAGGCGGCGTGCCATACCTTGCGTGCACTCCCTCCATTCCGTCCATTCCGTTGGTCATGATGTCGTTTCTTTGACGAACCTGGAGGGATTCCCAAAACTTTCTTTCAAAGCCCATGCAGCTCCATCATGTATACATCATGAATCATGAACCATCAGCTGATCCCAAATCATGTGGTTTCACCAATCCGTGGCATGATACAGGAATTGCAGTTTAACTAATTGCTGTGTGGGGCAAATGGAGGGCTGACTTGGCAGGCAAACTGTCTGCAGGATAGATGGGGACAAAATAGAGGTAGGATAGGAGAATACAACACCGGGCTATCAGAAACAGGCATAAATTGCACGCCAAATCATTGTGTGAACATCCCGATCCCGTTCTTCCTCGATCATCTGCTTGGAATTACTCACCGAGCCACACCAAAGGTCTCTTCTACGAAGTTTCCAGCAGCATACGTCTCGCTGGGCCCAAAAACCAAGGATTTGTAGTGCTCCACCACAGCAATGTGTGTACTATCCTAGGTGATTTTGCAAAGCCATCCAATCTGATTTGGATCTCTCCCGATCATACTTTCTGAAAATTGCGCTGCTGCTCATGTCACGTCCATAATGGTCATTCAATCCCGCCTTACACGCTCACTAGCACTCATGGCACATGAGATGCCAAGAAGCAGAAGATTCCTTCGCAAATAAGTTACTGTCACATGGTGCTAACATGTGCTAATATGGTATGCATGAAGCTGCAACTGCCAGATACTTTACAATACTTTCGATCCAGAGGGAGGGTATCTTCAATTTCCACCACCTGGAAGCATCTACAGTTTTGGTGTAATCATCTCCAATCACCTGGTAGTCATGAAAAAAAGACTCCCCTCACATCAACAGCCGTGGCCAATGTCAGTCACCAATGCGTTGCCAAGGATCATACCAGAAGACGATCCTGAGCAAATGAATGCTGCATCCCATGGCAAGCTATCTTTCTATCAAGAAGAGCTGACAAATAGTAAGGTTGCTGTGGTAAACAGGGAAAGTCCTTCACAGATCCAAAGCGCCGGATACAAGAGAACCAGGAACCAATACTGTATCATCTGTCCCAGCGTCGGCATCAGAGTGATCTCGTGAAAGACTTCAGGCTTCACCTTGTCTGATGAATTTCGCGGTACACCAGAAATTCAACGACAATCCCAACCTAGTCATGTCGATGTTAGAAATGCATCCTCCAAGATCACTGTTTTGGGCGTTCCAAAAAAGTGTCACCAAGGATGATCCCCATCCGCCTTGACGCCATGATGTTGGAAGGCGATGGCCTCATAGTGCAAATTCACCTCACAGCTGTTGAAATACCAATGTGTTACAGCTGTTTTGATCATAAGATTTAACTTGGTAATACTTATATATCATTACCATAGTGGCGTATTTACATACAATATACAATAGTATAATGGTAATGGCAATGACAACTATTAAAAAAAAACAGAAGTCATACTGCAAATCAACGCCACTTGTGATCATTTGGAACGGCATGCAGAACCCAACACAGTAAATCAGACATCATTCAGTACCAAGATGTACCAAGGCACCAGCAGGGGCAAGCCCACGTATTTCACTGGATTCTTTTTGTCCTCCAAGATGTCGAGCACTTTGTCTAGACCTGCTCGTGAACCCGCTTGTGTAAACCTCTTAAACAAGGTCCCGGGTGTGTCTGAAAGTTGAGTGACACCTCCAAATGGACATGCTCATGGAGAAAATCATGATCCACCAGCCGCCATCGAATTTAAGAGTACAGTACCTTGACCCAATTTTCAGGCGAACCCACACGCATTCATCTTGCGCACTTCTGCTGTCGTGTTGAAGTCTCAGAAAGGGTGGTAGGGTTACACGAACAAGAGGAAGAGCTGACTGACTCGTTGTCAAACATGCGTCTCCTCCCGTGCGGCCAGACGGCAACTGGGATTCCCAACTGAAGTTGAAGGAAAATTCCAAGTCATGCTGGTGTATACCTTGCCAACCGGAGACATGACAGCCGGGTTTGCTTTCGTGCTTGGGCGCCAAGCTCAAGCAAAATTTGAGCGTAAAAATCTATACACCTTCTCGGATGTGATACTTTTACAGGTTACATTATATATATATATACCAATTACAAACAATTACGTTCTATCCCATAACACCTGCCTGTAAAATATATAAGCATCTGTGACGGACTCATCCTCATCCCGGATCATTGCCCTAATACTCTCAATACGTCTATCAAAATCCCAGGAAGGCAGTACGTGTAACATGACATGCGTCTGATCCCATGGCCTTGCGCCTGCCCGCAAATACATAGAAAACTGATTGCATATATGTTAGGATTGTATTTTATGTTGTTTCTATCAATTTCTATCTGTATTGTTATAATACCACTAACAAAAGCATGAACCTCAACCCCCAGAATCTGAACTCAGGCCGAGTGACATACCAAAGGCGTCTCCACTTCTTGTAGAGCAGCCTTCACGGCCATGGCCTTGAGTCACGGTGAAGTGGAGCACTGGTGGTCACCACCTCCACTAGTACACGGGTCTGACAATCGGTTACCCCTGCCAATTTGGTTCCCACATTTTCAGACAAACAAGAGATAAGACTGATCTGGTTTTCAAACTTTGGCTCCTCAGTGGAAACTTTCGCGCAACCATCAGCCGGTCCACTCTACGGCCCTTCCGCCTGTCCGTTGTGCCCCTGTAAAATGATGAGTTTGCTGCCTGATCCCCATGGCAACCACAAGGTCTTTGCGGCAAAAGTTTTTGTCAATGGAGATCCAACAGCAGCTAGAACTCTCCGTTAAATTGCACTTCTTTCAAAAATACGCGTGTCCACTTATCAGGTTTTGGCTTTACTTGACATACGTATATGTATGTATGTATATATATATACATATATATATGTGTGTGTGACTCTTGGCGAAAGACCCCACTCCTCAATTTCACTGGGTTGTGTCGTGCAAGCCCTGTGACCATTGAATAGATTGGAGTGGCAGCACATCTGATCACATCCAACACCGACATAAGAGTGTCAGTCTCTCTGATTTATTTAGGCATGGCTAAAAATGGGGCACCAAGATCATTCAAACAATTTCTTGTGTCGGGTCATCAGTTTTGAGCCACCCCCATCGCTTTCACAGAGGGTTTTCCCGGCTTCTTGCCTGCTGGCAAATGCCCATCATCTTGGAGTTTCTTCAAGTTCTGCGCGAGGCGACTGTCCCACATCAACCGACAATTAGAACCTGTGAAACATGGCCTCGGACTTACACCAGGATCGTTCCATGCAAACATAAGCAAATGCTCTCTGGTCAACATTACTTGCTGAATTTGCAATGTCTCATCTTACAGATTTTACAGCGTGGATTGCGAATCGAAAGATCACCTGCTATCTGGCGAAACTGAAACAATCCGCTAAGAGGTATGCAAAGATATGCAAGACTTATAGAAATGGCTGAAGCTTTCAGGCAGCAAATCAAGGCTGGGAGCATCCCGGTGAACCTGCCCTCAGTGAAGGTCATCTGATCAACAACCCATGGTGTAGCGATCAGTTTTTGAGCCTTCATGGCTGTTTGATACTTTTGCTACTTGGTAAACTAACATAGCTATGGAAAATCACCATTTTTAATGGGTAAATCCACTATAAATGGTCATTTTCTGAAGAGAAACATATTGTGAATGCTCAATCAATGCGCAAGAACCAATTGAAGGCTCGGGAAATGCTACATGAGATCCATTCAAAGAGAACGGTTTTCACGACACTCAACTCAAAATTCAAATCGCCAGCCTCACGACATCAAGAAACATGATTTCCCCTGCTGCGACTGACCATCAGAATCAATCGCGAATTCCCAGTCTTTGGACCACCATGGCCGCCAATTAGTAAGCGGGTAATGACCATATTAATCCATACTATATTCCAGTTTGTAGGTCTTATAACCATTTATATACTAACTGTATCTAACTGTTACTAACTGGGATGCACATTCACGTACATCATGGCACCAAATCGACCTTGGGCCCATTAGTGACCCGCCAGGAGCGGGTCCTCTTTGTACTTTTCATAGTTCGCAGCCTTCTCTTCAGTGACCTGGAAGCGAGGCTGTTGAAACAATGGTGACCACAACATTGGCTGCAAGACCAGACGCAAACCTCGCATTCGTGCGGAAGTTTCTTGCGTTTCTTGACCCTTGCTGAAACAAAAAAAAGTGTGAACCCGAAAACACCTCAACCTGAACTCATAGAAACAATCTTCCCAGCCCCATGTCTCGCCTTCCCCGCTTTCCAAGTGGTCTTCTTTACGACTTTAAAACCTTGGAGGTCACACCCGTGACATCCCGTGAGGCCCGTGACCCAGGCGACCAGCCTAGGAACCGTCGCAGACGATGATCAACGGACACTCTGCGAGACCATCGACGCGTTGAAAACTGGCGAGGACCGCTTCAATCATCCTCAGGCACGGAGGGATCGCCAAAATGACACCTTTGAACTCCCAGTGGTCTGGAGCCCCCTTGAGCTTATTATTTATCAGCACCTCCATCATGGCTCCAACAGTATCTCAGTACACAGGAAATCTATTGAGTCGAGCACGTCGCTCAGGAGATTCATCCATTAAAAGATATCTAAAATATATGCTGGTTTCAGCTGGGACCGACTCCGCATATGGAAGATGAAGAAGTGGGGAGTTCTGCACACATGTTTCAATTCAAGTTCTTGACAAACAAAAATGCATCCAGGGAAATTCCAGGGATGCTTATTAAGATTTGCTAGCCGCTAGCAACCAGCCAACTCTCAGAGAACCCAGCCAGCATTCCACTAATCAGCTCGCTTCATGTTTTCCATCCACCGCGTTGACGCAGCTGGAGTCACGCAGACTGACCGCTTTGAGCGCAGTGGAACTGCACGCGTACACAGATTGCCATGGTCCAATTCCTGATGTGCTAAGACTGAATAACTAGCTGATTCCTTCCCCAAACCATTAACATGGTTCACAAAGTTATATATCCTGCGCTCTCCTACCTACTCGAGGATTGAGTGTACGAGAAGCACGCCATTGGCCTTAGACATACCTACAACTTGAGAAGATCCATCATGCTCAATACTTGAGTGGAATCTTGATGGGCCCAAGAGCAGAATGCTAAACAGACTGCTAGATATGCGTGAGATTTCAATCAGCTTTGCATGGGAAAATCAAGGGAAACAAAAAGTTTGCACAGTTCTCCCAAAGTCTCGGAGTACCTGACGATGTGGGATTGAGCCAGTGAACACAACACCCGGCAGTCTGAGGCACACGTGGCGTAAATTATGTGCGTGAGCACAAAAGACGCCCAGTCATGATCAAGGTGGAATCTCTTGAAATGCCATAATCAGCAGGGCAAGCTCCAGGTTGGAGAACTCGCCCCATGCAGATCAAATAGAACTTGTCTTGTGCGATTTTCGTCTTTGCCGCAATTTGGCTTTCGATCTCTTCCACATCTTCCTGAGGATCAATCTGGATGACCCGCGTCCTGGCACCAAGGTGGCGGACAACCGTTTGGGTGCGTTTCAGCGAAGCTGCTTGCTGGCTGGTTCTATCAATTTCAGGAAATTCATGATGGCGCAAGCGCACGTTTTTTGTGAGACATCCTGACGATCTTCCGTCGCTGAGTTTTCCCAGTCCTGCCAGTGAATTCCTTGACAAAGACTTGAATGTCACCGACAGATCCGTGGGCTTGTCTCTGATATGGAGAGGTGGAGAGCCTTCTTTGAAGCTCCTCAAAATCAAGGACGATAAAACAAACCGAATTTGTCTGGCAGAATTAAATCCTACAGTCATCTACAGTCCTACAATTTTGTTGACCGATCATTTTAAATATGTTAACCCATACCCAAGCTACCGGTACTGCCGTCGTTTCTTGCTGGGCTGGAAATTCCTACTTTGTCTCCACATGCCAACAACAGTTCCATCAGCCACGAGACCTGCCAGGCTGCCAGTCCTTGATTTTTGTTGACATCTTGTTCTTCTGTGAGAATAACTCGCCTGCTTGCCAGACCAGATGGGCATTCTCCTTCTGAATCCACAGCAAGGATGCCTCTTTACTTTCCAGTTTGGCCTGCGGATCCCAAAGCGATTGGGGACATCCTGGTCGTGAAGGTGGGGATAAGTTATAGATGGTTAATGACGGTGATGGTAAATGGCTGGTCATGCCCCTATTGAATTGTAGGGTAGTAACGTAGTAGGGCTGAACCATCTTTGACCCATCACTACGTTTTGCACTCTGCTCCTAAGCCTCTTGCAACCAACATCAACCAACACCCCCAGTGGCCGGCAGGGCCTTCAGGGAGGACATGATCTTCAGACCTTTCTTCTGGTCTGTCTCCAAGTCGAAAATGCGTTTTTGGGCCATTGCAAGGCGCCTGTTCAACGTGACATTCTCCACCACAGGGCACACAGCCTGATGCGTGGCGCTCTCATCAAGGCGCCCACGCCAACCACAGCCAGAAGCGCAATACTTGCAGCGCACCTGAATGGCAACCCCTTAGGCAAAGGCAAAGGTTGGGGGAATGGGATGATTGTTTCTTGCTATTAAACATATTAAACAATCATCCTATTCCACTAGTGCCACTAACTATTAATTGGATTGCTAATAGCTATAGAAGCTATGGGTGTTTCCCATAAAATCGATAGTTATGGATTGGATCATTCCCCCATTCCCTACGTAAAACGCACCAGTTTTGGTGGATTCCCCAGCTCAGAAAGAAAACGAACCATGACCCTGCTGGGCCCTTTTTCAAAACATGTTGTGTGAAAATATGACACGATGTCTCAGGGTTTTGATCATCGTTTTCCCAAACGTGAAATATCTTTGGATATCCTAATATTGGTATCCTGAACTTTTGGAGAACCCAAAAATGGAACGATTGCCAGCTCAATTGGTCGGGCACCTGGACTTCATCCACCAGCGCTTGAAGGGGCTGGCATCGTCTCAAGCGCAGGACATGCATCTCTTCTCTGCACAACGGACATTCTGCTTTGTTTGCCAAAGCTCGGGTGATGCAGGACAAGCAGAAGACATGTTGACATGACCTTAGCAGTGGAATATAGTGGAATCATGCCAAGAAAAAAATGCTCCACTTGTCCATTCATGTCCTTTCTTCGATGGTAGACCATGGTAGACCCAGGTGGTCAGCATATCTTCCATTAGACAAACAAAAACAGCAGCTGATTGTTTGTTCCAGACACGTGTTGCTTCCGCTTGCTACGGGCTCAACAAAGACTTCCGTGCAAATGACACAGCGCAACGCTGCAGAAATTTGACGTTGGTCCACCAAGAGCTCATCAGGAATTCCCATGGCATGAGGCGCCGGTCTGGCAAGGCAACTTGAAGGTTGGACTTGCTGTCTGTGTTTTCCATTCCTTCCATTACTCAAACACTCAATTTTTTTTTCAAAACAATTTACAAAAAAGATCTAGTCTAACTTGTGCAAAATGCAATGGGCTGGTGAGGCAAGTTGGAACTTATCAGGAAAAGTCCTCCCGAGTTGTGATGCTGTTAGACTTGATGACTTGATGTCGAGCCGCAGCCGGTAAAGCATAGGCACCAACTACGACCACTGGAACTGGAAGCCAACATACAATCGCACCGGGCACGGGAAAGTCGGCCATGAAGCACCGACGTTGCGAACCAACCGAAAATATCACACGAGATCACGCAACAAAACGGGGATCTCTCGCATAAAGCGTGCAAGGGGCTTCACCAGCATGGGAATTGATCGTTTCTGTGGGGGTAACGTCACACCTCGGGAATCCTTGTGCTGGGCCGTCCAATCCTTCGACTTTCGTCGACTTTCAAGAAAATGCCATGGGTTTACACAGTTTACACCTGTTTTTTGCAGACAAAATGGAAAAGGAAACTCAGAACTTTCCAAATTCTGCAATCCTAAAGGATCTATTCATTCTGGTCCAAACATTTGGAGTCAATTCCTACCGTAATAGTTCTGGATTCCAAGATCGCTCTTATCTATGCGAATCAATAAAAACACGTATTTGTAATTTATATATGATGGGGTGGGAAGATATGCTCTTCCAAATTTAATGTGTTACAATCATGTTTCATATGTTTCGTATCAAATCGCATTTTTTGGTGTTTCAGCTATGCTGCACGACTTTCGAAAGGACTTGCAAGTAGCTGGCCTTGCCTCACAACCAATCATGACACCTATAAATGGAGCGAATGCACCTTCTTTTCATCCAACTGGCAGTCAGAGGCACACGTCCACTGCTTAAAAGCACAAGTGGTGCAAGGACATGCCCCAACACTGTACAAAGGAGCCGCAGGATTGCTGTTCAAGGTTCTTTCGGAATGTCAACTAAAGTCAAGTCTGTTTCTAAAGCGAAATGTCTACTCAAAAGCCGCCCCATCATGATCAGGGTGGAATCGAATCTGTCGAAATGCCATAATCAGCAGCAGAAGCTCCAGATCGAAGGATTCTCCCCATGCACATCAAATAGAACTTGTCTTGGGCGACCTGGGTTATCTCTGCTATCCGGCTTTCGATCTCAGAAACATCTTCCTGAGGATCAATTCGCAACACCCGGGTCCTGGCAGGAGTAGCTTAGAAACAAACCGATATATGTGTTTCATTGTTTTTCCCCTGCCAGGTGAAGGTCTCTAGATTTTATCAGAATTGTTTGCTCCTTCTCCTTCTCCTTCCAGATCTCAGCGCACAATCGCGAGGTTGGGCTCTAAAATGCCCTGGACCCGGTGCCACAGCGCGAGCTCAGGAGGCTGTGGAGTGGCCCTGGAACACATGAGAGAGAATGGCAGACAGAATGCCAGATAGAATGTCAGACTAGATACCAGAAAGACTGCCAGATAGAATGTCAGAACATATGTCAGATAGAATGCCAGAAAGAATGTCAGAAAGCGTCAGAAAGAATGTGAGAAAGAATGCTAGAAGACATGTCAGAATATGTGCCAGAAAGTATGTCAGAGTAAACACCAGAAAGAATGTCAGATAGAATGTCAGAGTATATGCCAAAAAAATGACCGATAATGTCTGAGCATATGCCAGTTAAAATGCCGCATAGAATGTCAGAATATATTTATATCGAAGACTATGTCAAAATAGCGTGTCAGGGTGGAGATCACTCGAAGAAAGTAGATTCATTGTTTTTCCAGAGGGTTCATTCCAGTTCAACAGCAGGTTTTACACCATTTTTACCCAATGTATCCCAATGTCCTGCCAGACAATTCTTTGACAAAGACTTGAACTCCACCAGGAGGATCCTCACCTTCTCTGTAGACTGAAAGCTTTCTTTGAAGCTCCTCGTCCCAGCCACATGTGCCCCGCATTTTACCCACCTGTGAAAGAGGCTAAGTATGGCCAAGTTAAGAAGAAACAGAAAATGATGGCGACGTGTCCGTCCTTTATCTTTCTTTGCATCTCCTTTTTCTCTGTTGTCAACTCACCTGCCTGCCTGAGCAACTTGGCGTTGATCTTCTGCAGATTCTGCAAGGACGCTTCTTTGCTTTGGAGTTTGGCCTTGAACGAGCTTGAACAGAGCGAATGAATCCATTGTCCCAAAGTCCCAAACCGAAAGTTCGGTCAAATCGCACGATTTGAAGTATTAACTCCGAGAAGCCGACCCCGCAACATAGTCTTGGAGGTTTCAATTGTTGCCCAGTGGCTTTGTGTCAAAGCAAGGGACACATGACGAATAGTCTTCCGTTAATTTTCTCTCAATGTGTGCACAGGCACATGCGTGTCTTTCTGCCTCAACTTTGGCAATTCTGAAACATGAGCTCATTTAACCATAAACCACGCCCATGTGGCACCCCAAAAATCACCGAAGCTCACCTGCAGCGCTATCTTGTCCTTCTCACCTTTCTGCTTGTCATTCTCAAAGCTGGCAATGCGTCTTTGAGCCACTGCCAGCTGCCTTGTCAACGTCGCATTTTCCACCACCGGGCACACGGCCTGATGCGTGGCACTCTCATCCATGCGCCCGCGCCAACCACAGCCGGCGGGGAAGTTCGTGCAGCGCACCTCTGAGGTGGGCCGTGGCGATCTATTGGCTCGGCAATGGGTTGACGTCTGTAAAACTAGTCACTAGATGTCACTAGTCTGTGGGCAGTCATGGAATTTTAATGAATTTTAGCTGTCAACAATCTTGAGCATCCTCTTTTTTTGCGTGCACATTTATTGATAATATATTATTGCTTGTTTTTCAAAGCAAAGACCGAGGATAGTGTGGAGCTGGTGCATGTCAGGAAATCATTCAGGTCAAGCTCTGCTTAGCTTTAAACAAGCATGAACGCGTAGGTGAAATGTCAAGACTTCTCGAAGGAGTTCCGTTCTATGTGGACCCATGCCCAAATCTGCAGCTATGCTATTCTTTTTGTTTGGGCTCCAGTGCAGCCCAGTCGAAAGGCAAAGTCAAGCAGAATTGCCAGCATCAGACTTGTTTGGATTGACACTGCCGTCAAATGAAATGGGGATGGATCAAGACAGTTCAAAACCATCCAAAACCCATATAAATTCACCCTTTTGGGGATGAATGTCAAGCCATGTACGACCAGCTATTTTGGTGTTCACCAGGGTGCTAGAGTTTAAGCTATACCAAAGTTCTCCTGCACACATATCTTCTTGGCACCTGAACTTCATCCACCAGCGCTTGAATTGGTTGGCACCGTCTCAAGTGGGAGGCATGCATCTCTTCTCTGCACAACGGACATTCTGCTTTGTTTGCCAAAGCTCGGCTGATGCAGGACAAGCAGAAGACATGTTGACATGACCTTAGCAGTGGAATCATGCCAAGAAAAAAATACTCCACTTGTCCATTCATGTCCTTTCTTCGATGGTAGACCCAGGTGGTCAGCATATCTTCCATTAGACAAACAAAAACAGCAGCTGATTGTTTGTTCCAGACACGTGCTGCTTCCGCTTGCTGTGGGCTCAATGAAAACCTCCGTGCAAATGACACAGCGCAAGGCTTCTGCAATTTGACGTTGGTCCACCAAGAGCTCATCAGGAATTCCCATGGCACAAGTGGCCTTGCGGCCTCTCTCCCTAGTACCAGAGTGGCGTTTGGGGCTTTGCTCTGAAGGCGTGCAATGTCAACATGATTTCGGAGGTTTTCTAAGCTGCGATCCTTGACTTTTCGCTAGCTGGCCGTACTTTCTTGACCCTTTGTGTAATTATGCCGTAGAAGCTGTCTTGATGTTCGAGGTAGTTCAGCCGTGAAATGTTGTTAAGTTTTCACAATGTCCGAAACGGCAAAGCGCCGCCCGCCACGACCACCGCTGCAAAACACAGAAATCACAGCAGAACGGACACAATAACCCACCAAAAGTCGGCCTTGGAAGTCTGTGAAATTTGGTCAAGGGATGTCAAGGGGAATCCAAATGATGTGGCTCCACCAAGGCGCATGGTCGAGGGATGGCTGGGCACAGGACTGGTGGTGATCACCTCAGGGTACACTGTGCCGGGAATCAGAACACTGCAAAGAACACTTGAACAGACTGTGTGTGTAGATGTATTTTGAATTATTTTTTAATTATCTATACATCATCATGTGTATCTTATTTGTACATGTATATGTAAGATTGTATCATATGTGCCATGGTCCATGGTCAGAACACAGTATTTACGGTATGGTCGTCTATCCCATATTGAGAATCTTTCTAAAGTGTATGCAAATCCCTCATCAACGGATTGAGGAGCATCCTCTTTTATGGCTACTAGTATAACCATGTTTTGACCATGCCACATATATACATATATACATCCATGATCATCCATATTCATCCATACACATCTACACTTGCACATATATAACATAAGAATCATGAAGGCTACATTACATGCATGTTCTGCACTGCATCAAACTATTGGCTGCACAAAGCAGACTGCAATGGACTCAAGGGCCCCCAACCACACTGAGCCGCGATGAGATGCTACTTTGAGCACTGGCCTCGGCAAAGGCATGCAAAAGCGACCAAGGCGGCAACCGCGATGAGTGATTCAGGGAAGCATCATGATAAGAACTTCACCAATCAATTCGAACCATGGGAGCAAAGCTGGCAGCCATCATGTGTTGCCATTTCAAAATGGCATTGTCTGAAAAATCGAAAAAAAATCCAGTGGTCTATCATAAATTTCTCACATTTTACCCATTGAACTGCACCGGTTTGGTATCCCCCGTTTTCCCCAATTGCTTGGACTGGTTACACGGAATCACCTGCCCATCCGCACCTCCACGTTGGAAGGATTGCAAGGCACCTCGCGACAAAGTTCCGCATGTGTTTGAGTTCGGATTCGGGAGAATTGGATGCGTTCCATCGAAATTTCACATGGGTTTCCAGGATTTATATCCTTGGAATCTTTTGATAATTATTTCTTTGATATTAGTATCATCACCATGCGTTTCAAAGAAATGGGATCTATCGGACCTATCTATTCATTCGCTGGCAAACATCTGAATGACCCTAGAAAACTGCACGCATCTCAGAAGGAAATGCTGAGTTCAGAAGGGTCAATGTCATTTGGGGATGTACTGTAGTTGAGTCGGTTTTATCCCACCAACGTGTTTATATAATCATGTTTAGGTGGTTTCTTGTAGGCATATATATTGTATTGTTATATACATGTAATCATATGCAATCCCAAAATCAAGGCTGCTCTTAGCACCCCAGCTGCGAGGGAAACTGGGTCGATAGAGAGGTAAAATGGCATACTAAAATCTACATATGTGTATATATATATAATTATAATTATAATTATATGTGTGATAGTACAACCACCTATAAATCATGAAGCAACAGGACTTTTCGACACTGTTCGTCTGTTCAAACCCTGTCTGGTTGGCTCACAGTTTCCTGGCCCCCACTCGATGCACGCCTTGTCCTTGCAACACACCTCCTGTCGCACAAAGGTCACCCCCGTGGGTCTCAGAGAAATGTCATGCTTTGGTAACCAAACCAGGCCTGGACCCATGGCAGTGGCCGCTTGCAGACCTTCTCAGGACACTCGGCACCTGCAAGCGCAGTTGGTTCTGCACACATGCATCGGTGGCTGTGCAACAGTTTGCTATGGAAACCGTGGCCAACTCATCGAAGGAAGCTTAGAAGTCAAACTTCCGACAGTATGGACAGATAAAAAGAAGAGGTGGGAAGACTCAGAGAAGAGAAAAGAAGAGAAGAGAAGAAGAAAGAAGAAAGAAGAAAGAAGAAAGAAGAAAGAAGAAGGAAGATCAGAGAAGAGAAGAGTCAAAAAGAAAGAAGATGCAGGCGCCCGCAAAGGCAGAAAAGTTGCGAATCACTCCGTTTTTCCACTGATTTGTCTGAGGAAAGTCAAAAGTAGGTTCGCGAAAGCGGCGGGCGCGGGACCGTCTGGCCAGATGAGAGATTAACAATTGCACACCGTTGTGGCGCGAAACAAATTTCGAAGTCAAAAGTGCTAAAATCTGACGGTCTCGGACCACTTTTGGAAGTTGAGATGTTGAAAAAGTGCACGCCCTTGTGGCGTGAAGCACATTTCAAAGTCCAAAGTGTTAAAAACTGACTGTCTCGGACCACTTTTGGAAGTTGAGATGTTGAAAAAGTGCACGCCGTCCTGGCGTGAAGCACATTTCAAAGTCCAAAGTGTTAAAAATTGACTGTCTCGGACCACTAGATGTTGAAAAAGTGCACGCCGTTGTGGCGTGAAGCACATGCCAAAATCAAAATGTCAAAACACCACATGTTCGCGCCACTTTTGGACGTTGAAGCATCGTTTTGTGGGGCAGGCGTAAAGGATTCTGCACTTTGTCATAAGTGATCAAACGTGAGGGTT